CGCAACGCGTAAAAAGACAGTATAAGTCATTATAATCAGTTATTATGTCCCCACTGGATGCAACAAATATGTACAGTATGGTAAGGGGCGTAACATTTCCGTCACATGCTTGAGGTATTCGGCCAATCATAACGCACTGGATAGCTGGCCAATCACAGCACACCTCGCTTTTTCAGACCGATGAGCTTTGTAAAAATCGACGCGTTTCAGAAAGGCGGGGCATAGAGGAGAAACAATAATGTACAGTATGTGGAAAATAATGTATTTTTTTAACCTTAAACCGCATAAACACATTTCATTACACCAAATACTGTTCTTTTTAGCAGCATCATATGACCCCTTTAATAAATTAACCACCTATAACATGCATTATACTTTTTATATTTTTTATTTGTGAATTTTTTTTTTTACTTATTGCATACAATACAATGACAATAAAGTGTCTTAACTCTTACATAATTTAAAATAAAAATACAAAAAAAAACATTCTAACATGCAGAAAAAAATTTGTTTTGATGCTTAAAAACTCCTTTTTTTCTTTGACACATTTATATAATTTAAAAAAAAAGTGATATAATGTATTAGGTGTAAATACCAGGCACAAGCCAGACAATATTATTTTTATTTTTAAGAAGAGAAAAAATGCCACATACCTGACTCCTGTGGCTCTGACACCTGGGTTTCAAAGTGAGCTTTATTTGGAGGCGGCGTCTCAATGGATGGCTCTTCCTGAGGAGATTCTAGACGAGATGCTGCACTCTTCCTGCCGCGTTTCACTGGTGGAGAGGCAATTGGCTGTTCCTCCACGTTCTTTTTCTTGCGATCTCTTGGCCTCCCTGCTGCCACGGGCTTCTGATGTCTAACCCGTCTAGATGGTGTACGGTCTGTAGGAGGCGTCTAACACATGAAAAATACTTAAGCCAGGAATTTCATACAACAGTTAGCAATCGATAACGCAATAATGACTGTCACACAAACCTTTACTAGACTGGACTTTTTGATGTTTTGATGTGGTGTACAACTATTCTTAGCTCTTTTTGAAGAGAATGGTTGGAGGTCTGAGGTCGGTGTGGAATTGAAGAGAGGCCTGGACCGGGGTCTGCCCCGTTTCGGGGTGTGTGGTATGGAACTACAATCACTGTTAGTGTGGCAGGTGGAGATCTCCTTGTGATGAAGAGGAGATAATGTAGTACATGTGTGAAGCGCTGTAGAAACATCAGAAGGGGTCTGATTGTTTTGAGTTTTTTTAGAGTGCCGATAATGTGTCCCTTTTGTTTTTTGAGATCTTAAGTGTTGTTCTGGGCAAGAATTGCGTTCAGAATTGTCCAGTCCATCTGAACAAACGTTTTTAGCAGCTACTTCTTTCTCATTGGGTTGAATTGTTTTTTTTTTCCTTCCCTTCTGAGATCTTTTTGATGTTTCTGATGGACATTTGGGGGTGGTCATTTTTTCAGGCACCATCGGCTCAAGTTCATGTGACTTTGAAGACACCAGTCCATTTGTACCCGTTAGTTGATGTGTTGACTTCTGTAAACAAGCTGATAAGTCAGGAAGAGCATTTTGGTTTGCAGCTTGAGGTTTCTCCTTCTTGGTTGTTCTCTGTCCACGTGATTCTGCAGGATTCAGATCTTGAGACACTGTGGTTTCTTTACTATGCAAGATGGAAGCTTTGTCACCTGAAACAGGTTTGTTAAGTTCTAGAAGAACTTGCGAAATGGGGCGACAGGTCCTGTGAGGATTCCTTCGACGATGAGAAGACATGTACTAATTTACTTTTTTTTTTAAATCAAAGTAAAATATTTTCATGTCATCCCAACTTTATTCACACATAATGATGATGGTGATGATTGTTATTATTATTGAATAATTATTGTTTTTAATAATAATAATACTTTATTTTTTATTATTATTTCACATTACTGTATATGTCAGAATGTCTCAATATGAAGGAGATTATGTCACTTTCTATGATAATAGGCTACATATAGTCCAAAGAGTTTCGTCCTCTTTGCATATTAACTTAGTATCCTATAGTATAACATCTTCTGTAGGCAATAATTCAAGTTTAATGTAGGGGCCATATTGTGACGGCGTTTTCTGTTGTTATGGAAGTCTTCTGTCCTTCACACATTAACCTTGCAGTTCTCCCTGTAAAATGGATAAAGAAACGAATGAAACAGCGCACTGTAAAATAAACGTCTTGTATGATATACTGTACGGTCGATTTATAATCACTCACACTTGCTTGACAAGGTAAGTTGTTTTGGATTCACAGGCTTTCCGCTGACTCTCTGCTGCCACCTGCTGGCTCCTCGCGACATCCTGTAACGCTGCGCATGCATCCAAGTGATGCGATTCACTGGTCAGATTCACCCACAGAATCTCAGTAAGAGCTGCGCAAATCACAATAGGCTAATGAACACGTTTTCATACATTTATTATCGGTCATATTCTGAAGTAAACTGTAAGCGATTGAAGCTCATGCAATAATAAAAATGAATAAAATGTCATGATAAATTAGTCAACATTTAGGAAACAAAAGGAAACTTTTACCTAATGACAATGATTTGATACATATTTTATGTATATATTTATATATGAATTTATAGTATTATTTATCACAGAATCTGGATGGCACACTACATTATGCTCCTTAAAAACAGATAATTATGCTCTCATGGAAAAACATGCAGATGACGTCTTTGGGTAGCCTACACCAACTTGATCATTTATGAAAAATATTTCCATTTTAGGCTCTCTTACCCTCCTGTTGAGCCAGCTCAGAAAAAAGTCTTGCATGTTCGCTCTGGTGCATGAATCTTTGATTTTCCAAAGCTGTAAAATTTTTCTTTAGGATCATCTAAAATAGGGGGAAACATCCAATAAAATCAGTATTACCATAATAAAAACCAATTCAATTAATTATTTAGTCTCTATATCAGTTTTTTAATTATCCTTACACAATAGTACTGTGGTTAAACTCAGTACAAAGATTCAATGCACATTCATCTCTTTCTGATACTCACTTGCAGTCGCAGACTCTCAGTTAGAGATGCATCTGTTTTCCTCTGGCCCTCTAGAAGACTTCCCAGCTCTTCTTGCAGTTTGGTCTGGTTCTCCAAGCTCAGCTTCAGTGCAGATTTTAAGACCGCTTGCTCTTTTTCCTTCATCACTTTGGCTCCCTCCATCTTTTCAATTAAGGCCCGTTGTGCTTCTCTGCATTGTGTAACACCAGCCAAGGGGGGCCAGGTGGCCCAAACCACAATGACGATCAGAGAGACCATGGACCACAGCGCCAGGAGAGCCATAATCCAGTTACAGGTGTTCTGGGCTGAATTGGACCTGGCCATGCTGAGAAAGACACAAACTAAAGAGAACTTCTGCTGTCTGGTCTGACAGGGAGGGAAGTTTATGTGGATCAGTGTTGAACCAGCTGTGTTTTGCTCGCTGAGGCTGGGCTGTTTCTCTGGATATGAGTGGAATCTACGTCAGCATCTACAATGTTATTTTAAGGACCTTATCAGTGCTCTGCGAAATAATACTGTTTTAGAAAACATCCCGGTTTTCTTTCATGTCCTCATGGCATTATGGTTCTTAAATCAGTGTAATTATCCATAATGCAATAATGAGATGAGTATGGAGGGATTAAGACTGACTAAAATGCAGTAAAGGGGATAGTTTACCCAAAAATTAACATTCTCAGCATATCCTGAAAAAAAAAATTGGTGTAGGATTTCCTTCAAAACAACTGTCACTCAGAAACTGCTAGTCAATTTGACAAATAATTAAAAAGAAACAGCAAGTAACACATTGAATTATATGTGAAATTCTTGAAGTACAACAACTGAAATAGTATTTTCTTGTAAAACATACTCCAATAATCTTTTTAAAAATCTGATTTAAAAAAATCTTTTATTTTACAGTGCACAAAAGATTATACTTTGAAAAATGTCTATGTGTATTTTGTCCATACATTAAAAGTCAGTGGGATCCAATATTTTTGGACCCCACTGAGTTTCATTATATGGACAAAAAAAGTTGAAACATTATTTAAAATATAAAGCAAGTCATACATTTTTAAAAGGACATGATGGTGAAAAAAATTACAGCATTTCTGGTTGAATGATCCCCTTTAAATGAACTTGATGACAGAATAAATTCATTTAAAATTGACCCAAAGAAACTAAAAAAACTGGAAGGTTCATGTCGCCAGAGCTAAACAGAGACATACACTGTTGATTTATGTCAACACATCTCATGGGAAGCTAACAGTTCTCAGAATATTCATAGATGTCCTGTGGTTTGAAATTTCAAAGTAAACAGTTGCATTTACAAGACCCCAAAAATCCAAATGTTTATCTGAATAGCAAAACACGATTATGTTACAATGGAGATGGAAAAATCTTTTGTTTAATTAGAACTCTGGGACGTTCAACATCTCTGGACATGTTGAAAATTAAGATAAAAAGGTTGACAAATGCTCAGAGTTATAAAACACTATATTTCACCTCCCAGTGCATTCCTCAGCCCACACACACACCAAATAAAGACACTGTAACTCTATTCTACTTCAATTCTTTTATTTGAATGGACTTTTCTAATGTATATATATATATAAACTTGTCGTAAATAAAACAACATAATAACAGTTACAGTACTGTAAGCCAACAGATATGAATATTGCTATGACTTAACTACAAATGAGCACAACCATTTCCAGATACTGATGCTCACTTGCATATGGAATGTCATACAAAAAAATGGAATTTTTGAAGTGTGTGTTTTGAACAAAAGAAAAGCGTTAAAGCAATAGTTCACCCAAAAAATGAAAATTCTTTTATCATTTACTCACCCTCATGTCGTTCCAAACCTCAAAACTTTCTTTTTTTCTGTGGAACATGAATGTTTCAACTGTTTTGAACATACTATGACTACACACACAAAAGTTGGGTTAGTCCATATTTGACCCAAAGTTGGGTTGAAACAACCCAGCATTTTTTAGAGTGTAGATACAGAAGCAGCTTACTGAGTATTAGATATATGTACAGATCATTCAAAACAGCATTTAGGACTATCATAAGTGTAGAAGTTATTTACTTTGTCTCATATCATAAAATTAGAATTCGATTTGCATAGGAAAAGCGGACATGCAGAGCAATAAAAGCAACTGGCATCTTGAGATTATTCAATTCCTCATAGAGGACTGTGTAGTGCATTACTCACAATGTACATTAATAATATGCTTTGCTCTGAGTGCTGTAATAGAACTGTAAATAAACTCATTTTTATCTACTGATCCAGCATGTATATTTTTGAGGTGACAATTAAAAATACTAAATGCTTGCTTCAGCTGTAACAGACCGGCATCACATAAGGATACTGCAATGCACAAGCGAAACACATGCACACTCTCACTCAGCATTTATAGAAAATACCATTTTGCAATGCTTTTGTTCTAGGAGTAACATGAACTCTACAGGCTTACATGAAGCTTATTGCAAAGTTTAATACTCTATATCTGCCCTGCACATACCAAGCGAAGATATTAGATAGTCATTGCGTTCAGAAAGCAAACAGAGCAGCTTAAGCCATGCTGGTGCTGCGAGTGTCATTTTCAGCTGAAATCGAACGCACCAGCTCTTCCACCCAGCGCACCTCGGAGACCATCTGCTCAGCGAGCACTTCGTAGCGGTTCTCCAACCGGCCAAACTTGCGTTTGAGGGCATTGGCTGACAGCATGGCGGCGCGGGCCTCTTCCTGGCTCTGTCTGCGCAGGGCTTGTGCTCTCTGCAGCTCCTGTTTGATCTGATTCAGATCTGCAGCGATGCTTTCGTTCTCCTCCTTGTACCAGCTTTCTTTCTCCTCATAGATGGAGAGCAGAGCGGCCACGTCCTCAGCGCAGGAGCGCTGGTTCTTCTCCAGCTCTCGTAGGCCTTCCTCGGCTGCTGAGATCTCCTCCATGACCTGGGAGAAGCGCTCAAAGTTGATGTAGGTGTTGTTGGGAGGCATGCTGGAGTGGGATTTGATGGTGTACTCCTTCAGACGGGTGGTCTTCAGACGCCTGCGCTCTGTCTTGCGCTCGCACTCCTCAGGCCGAACATTACGCCTCTTAATCACCTGTATGGGGGGGGATGGGATGAGAACTAGTCAAGCACAGCACAATTGGTTACTAAACTCAAGAGGGAGGAAAAGAGAAACATTCGAACCTTGATCCAGGGATGCTGGAGACTGTCTTCGATTGTCATTCTCTTCCTGAATGTTAAAAGCAAATATTAAATTAAATATTAACAAACAGGAATGAACAAACAGAATTTGCTTCATATTAAACAAATGAGGCTTACAACAAGAGTTATTTTAGTGTTATTTATAATTACTAATATTTTGAATTAGTTTTTATTTTTATATTTTCAGTTTTCATTTTAATAAAGATTTTAGTAATTTTGTTATGCACTTTTGTCCAATTTTATTAGTTTTTTATATTTCCATTTAGCTTTATTTTTTCAGTTTTAGTAATTTTAGTACAACAACTTAAAATGATTATTTTTTCCATTTACATTTTTTATCTAATATTTACATTTTATTTTATATTTACTTTATTACATAGCTTTAGTAACAACACTGGATTTTACTAACTTAGGATCCTTGACCAGCAGTCGGCGAATGAAGTCCTTGGCGAGCTCACTTGTGTTACTGAAGTACTCTTCATCAAAGTCATAGTTGACAGCTGAAATGTTGGTAAGTGTTTCTTGTTTGGTCTCGCCAAGAAACGGAGAAGCGCCACTCAAGCTACAGACAATTAATAATACATTAATATTAGTAAAGCAACATAAAAGAGCATCATCTGGGTGTGGAAAGCATTTAATCAATTGCAGCCAAACAAGTCATGTATGTGACATTACAACTTACACCATGAAGCAGTAATGAGATGAGTATAGTGGGATTAAGACTTTTTTAAATACAAAATTAACAGTTATCATTCAATATTTTTTGGACCCCATTGAGTTTCATTGTATGGACAAAAACAGTTGAAACATTATTTAAAATATAAAGCAAGTCATACATTTTTAAAAGGACATGATGGTGAAAAAAATTACAGCATTTCTGGTTGAATGATCCCCTTTAAATGAACTTGATGACAGAATAAATTCATTTAAAATTGACCCAAAGAAACTAAAAAAACTGGAAGGTTCATGTCGCCAGAGCTAAACAGAGACATACACTGTTGATTTATGTCAACACATCTCATGGGAAGCTAACAGTTCTCAGAATATTCATAGATGTCCTGTGGTTTGAAATTTCAAAGTAAACAGTTGCATTTACAAGACCCCAAAAATCCAAATGTTTATCTGAATAGCAAAACACGATTATGTTACAATGGAGATGGAAAAATCTTTTGTTTAATTAGAACTCTGGGACGTTCAACATCTCTGGACATGTTGAAAATTAAGATAAAAAGGTTGACAAATGCTCAGAGTTATAAAACACTATATTTCACCTCCCAGTGCATTCCTCAGCCCACACACACACCAAATAAAGACACTGTAACTCTATTCTACTTCAATTCTTTTATTTGAATGGACTTTTCTAATGTATATATATATATAAACTTGTCGTAAATAAAACAACATAATAACAGTTACAGTACTGTAAGCCAACAGATATGAATATTGCTATGACTTAACTACAAATGAGCACAACCATTTCCAGATACTGATGCTCACTTGCATATGGAATGTCATACAAAAAAATGGAATTTTTGAAGTGTGTGTTTTGAACAAAAGAAAAGCGTTAAAGCAATAGTTCACCCAAAAAATGAAAATTCTTTTATCATTTACTCACCCTCATGTCGTTCCAAACCTCAAAACTTTCTTTTTTTCTGTGGAACATGAATGTTTCAACTGTTTTGAACATACTATGACTACACACACAAAAGTTGGGTTAGTCCATATTTGACCCAAAGTTGGGTTGAAACAACCCAGCATTTTTTAGAGTGTAGATACAGAAGCAGCTTACTGAGTATTAGATATATGTACAGATCATTCAAAACAGCATTTAGGACTATCATAAGTGTAGAAGTTATTTACTTTGTCTCATATCATAAAATTAGAATTCGATTTGCATAGGAAAAGCGGACATGCAGAGCAATAAAAGCAACTGGCATCTTGAGATTATTCAATTCCTCATAGAGGACTGTGTAGTGCATTACTCACAATGTACATTAATAATATGCTTTGCTCTGAGTGCTGTAATAGAACTGTAAATAAACTCATTTTTATCTACTGATCCAGCATGTATATTTTTGAGGTGACGATTAAACATACTAAATGCTTGCTTCAGCTGTAACAGACCGGCATCACATAAGGATACTGCAATGCACAAGCGAAACACATGCACACTCTCACTCAGCATTTATAGAAAATACCATTTTGCAATGCTTTTGTTCTAGGAGTAACATGAACTCTACAGGCTTACATGAAGCTTATTGCAAAGTTTAATACTCTATATCTGCCCTGCACATACCAAGCGAAGATATTAGATAGTCATTGCGTTCAGAAAGCAAACAGAGCAGCTCAAGCCATGCTAGTGCTGCGAGTGTCATTTTCAGCTGAAATAGAGCGGACCAGCTCTTCAACCCAGCGCACCTCGGAGACCATCTGCTCAGCGAGCACTTCGTAGCGGTTCTCCAACCGGCCAAACTTGCGTTTGAGGGCATTGGCTGACAGCATGGCGGCGCGGGCCTCTTCCTGGCTCTGTCTGCGCAGGGCTTGTGCTCTCTGCAGCTCCTGTTTGATCTGATTCAGATCTGCAGCGATGCTTTCGTTCTCCTCCTTGTACCAGCTTTCTTTCTCCTCATAGATGGACAGCAGAGCGGCCACGTCCTCAGCGCAGGAGCGCTGGTTCTTCTCCAGCTCTCGTAGGCCTTCTTCGGCTGCTGAGATCTCCTCCATGACCTGGGAGAAGCGCTCAAAGTTGATGTAGGTGTTGTTGGGAGGCATGCTGGAGTGGGATTTGATGGTGTACTCCTTCAGACGGGTGGTCTTCAGACGCCTGCGCTCTGTCTTGCGCTCGCACTCCTCAGGCCGAACATTACGCCTCTTAATCACCTGTATGGGGGGGATGGGATGAGAACTAGTCAAGCACAGCACAATTGGTTACTAAACTCAAGAGGGAGGAAAAGAGAAACATTCGAACCTTGATCCAGGGATGCTGGAGACTGTCTTCGATTGTCATTCTCTTCCTGAATGTTAAAAGCAAATATTAAATTAAATATTAACAAACAGGAATGAACAAACAGAATTTGCTTCATATTAAACAAATGAGGCTTACAACAAGAGTTATTTTAGTGTTATTTATAATTACTAATATTTTGAATTCGTTTTTATTTTTATATTTTCAGTTTTCATTTTAATAAAGATTTTAGTAATTTTGTTATGCACTTTTGTCCAATTTTATTAGTTTTTTATATTTCCATTTAGCTTTATTTTTTCAGTTTTAGTAATTTTAGTACAACAACTTAAAATGATTATTTTTTCCATTTACATTTTTTATCTAATATTTACATTTTATTTTATATTTACTTTATTACATAGCTTTAGTAACAACACTGGATTTTACTAACTTAGGATCCTTGACCAGCAGTCGGCGAATGAAGTCCTTGGCGAGCTCACTTGTGTTACTGAAGTACTCTTCATCAAAGTCATAGTTGACAGCTGAAATGTTGGTAAGTGTTTCTTGTTTGGTCTCGCCAAGAAACGGAGAAGCGCCACTCAAGCTACAGACAATTAATAATACATTAATATTAGTAAAGCAACATAAAAGAGCATCATCTGGGTGTGGAAAGCATTTAATCAATTGCAGCCAAACAAGTCATGTATGTGACATTACAACTTACAGTATATATGTGATAACTCCAATGCTCCTGCAGGAAAGAAAATCACAAGAAAATTAACTCTGAGCAAAACTTAACAACTGGTATACTGAATATCATTTATTAATAACCTAAAAAATCATTCATAGCTATGACTAACCACATATCTGCCTCCAGGCCAAGAGGCTCATAATTAACAATTTCCGGTGCTACAAAAGATAAAAGATATGGCAAAGATTAAGGACTCCTAATAAAGTTATCATAAATAAGGATAAACATTATTAAGTGTTATAATAATCTCAAGTTCTCACCAACAAACTCAGGAGTTCCAAAGATGTTTTTAAATTCATTTCCATCCTTAATCTGATGAGCAATTCCAAAATCTATCAGCTTGATTCTGGGGTTCGGCACATTTTTATCCAGCAGCATTATGTTCTCAGGCTGAAAACAAAGATGTAGATGAGTTTGTTTCTTTATCTGAACAGCTTTGGAGAAATTTAGCATTACATCACTTGCTCACCAATGGATCCTCTGCAGTGAATGGAGCTTTTTCACTGAAGAAAGCATTATTATGGATTATGTATATTAGCCGGAAGCAACGGTTTGAAGTTTAAAACGCCTTATTGATGGATTTATTACAAACATGCAGCTTTTCACTTCCCAAGATGTTAACTGATGGACTATAGACTACTTGTGGATTATTGTGCTGTTTTTATGAGCTGTCTGAACTCTCATTCTGACAGCACACATTCACTATTCTTTTATAACAAATCATCCTAGTGCTCACCTTCAAGTCAAAGTGTGCTATGCGTTTCGAGTGGAGGTAGTGAACTCCATCCAGGATCTGCTTGAGGAACTGCGTGGCCTCCTCCTCAGTCAGTGACTCCTTCTCAGCCAGGAAGTCAAACAGCTCCCCTCCAGACACCAGCTCCAGAATCAGGATCACGTCAGTCTTGTTCTCAAAGATGTCATGGAGGGTGATGATGTTGCTGTGTTGGATCTCTCGAAGGATGTTCACCTCTCGCTCAATCTCCTCTCGGCTCACGCCTCGTCGGCTGGATGACAGGCGTCTCTTCTTGATAAACTTGGCGGCATATTCGGTTCCGGTGCTCTTTTCTTTACATTTACGCACAATGGCAAACTGCCCACTGGGAAACATGGTACAATGATACACAGAGAAAACAGAAATGAAAAAGAAGAAATCATGTCATTGCATATAGAAGATAAGGATATGGAATGGGTATATATGTGAACTATATATGTAAACAGAAGTACATACATTCCACAAAACCAAATTCTAGTAACTTTATAAAAGAGATAGAGAGTAACTTATTTGGGTAAATGGTATAAATGCTACATAATGCAACCAAGGAAACTATAAAAAAGTGGTTGAAGTATTCCCCTGATGGCTCCTCTCTGGCCCATCTGTAGTCTCATTTGCACTACAGCTGTTCTCAGGCTCAGAGAGCGAGCATATGCATTGTAAAGCAGTGATGCCATGCTGCAGCAGCACAGCACAGAATCCTCCACTTCATATATAGAAAAAAGGCCAGGCTTGATTCAGTGTTTGCAGATTATTAAGTCACTCTGCTGTGGACTTTTAAATTGCAGGACTCTCATAATATTGATAAGCGCAAACACTATGTCGCCTTGGCAACTCTAGGCCAAACACTATGATGTATTCACTTACCTTTTATTAAAGTGCTTTTGTAATTACATAATTATACTGCTTAATCAAACATTAAAATTTTAGGCTACTTCAAATCTTAATCTTTGTTTTATTCACTGTGTGTGAGATCACTTTAAATCAGGTTAAACTAGTTTGTACAGAGTTTTAAGGAGGGAAATTACATCTCTTACCTTCCTAACTCCTCTTCCATTTCATAGTACAGCTCCACATCCTCCTGCCTGAAGCCAGCCATGATTTTCAGTCTTCAAATGAATCAATCTGTTAGAAAATGACCAGAAATAGTGCCTAGTTTAGTTTCACGGTTTTGACTTTGTCTTCAGTCC